CGAGGACAGGTTCCAGCCCCACCCTGACCCTGATTAGGAACAAGGAGGACAGGAGGAGGATTTTTCTTCATAGCAGGAAACAGACATTTTATTATAAAACATGATTTATTTTATGCGAATCTGAGTCAGTTTAGTGTTGTTTGTAAATACTGTATATTTGACAGTTTTGTAGGAATGAACATGTTTGTAATATTTGTTCAAAATAAACCTGCTTCTTGTGACTTCTGTAACATGTTTTGAATAAAATATTATTAGTAAAAACCTCAAATCATGTCCTTTCTAATAATTATTAGAACTCTAGAAGAACTTTAACTCTTGTAGATATAAAGTATAACAGCTAAAGATGCAACTATCAAAAAAACTTCCTCTCAGTCACTGAAAATAATTTATTTACCACATTTTAAAGATTGATTATAACCTGGGCCCTTAAGGGTTAATGCTCCTGGACTGTCTGTCTGACCTGCAGTGTGTGTGTGACAGAGGAGAGGAGCTCAGCTCTGTGTTGGAGTCCAGCAGGACCTGTACAGCAGCTGATTCTGTCTGGATTTGAGTTCACAAACTACTCTGGTTACTTTTTTAAAAGTTGAGGGACATTACAGCTGCGCTGCTGATCAGCACTATTTATAGAACATGAATGGACTCGTGGGAACCTGGTCACACGCGGGGTCTGTGTTGGTGATTCTAAAGTAATTATTGGGGGGGGGGGGGGGGGCTTGAATAATGGTAGGGGAAATGCTAGTCATTAATCTTCCAGAGTTGAATTTACGTCTAAAACTCCATCACACAGGTAAGATGGGGCCAGACCTTTTAAAGCTTTAAAAGTTTGCAATAAAATCTTAACATTTATCCTAAAATGAACAGGAAGCCAATGGAGAGAAGCCAGCAGAACTGGGGATATGTGTTTGTGTTTTTCATTTAAAGTTAAGCTGCTGCATTCTGGAAAACTTGTAATCGATGCAGAGGAGATTTATCTAAACCAACATACAAAGAATTACAATAATCCAAATGACATGTAATGACAGCATGAATCACATTTTCAAGGTCTTTGGTTGGGAGATATGGCTTCACCTTGGAAATAAGTCTGAGTTGGGAAAAACTTGATAACCTTATATTTATAAAAATAAATACGGAAAAAGACCTTTATGATGAACAAACCAAGACAGAATAACGTTTTCAAGTGTTTACAAAAGGATGTTGTAAACAAATGTGATAAAGGAGGCAGTTAAATCTAAAAGAACTGAAACAGTGGAGCAACCTGAGTCAGCAGTTTGAGGAAAATCACTAAAATCCATTAAAAGTGCTGTTTCAGTGTTAAGGTGGGATTACAAACCAGACTGAAACTCTTCACAAACATCAGGAACATCTTATATTCCAGTGTTATCTTATAAAGACGCTCCATCAGATTTAAAAATAACAATCATCACATGAATGTGTCTAAATGCTCACCAGGAGGTATGAATAATGTTCCTACAATTCCATTTTGGCGAATCTCTGTTCTCTTCACWCCTGGTGTGAGGTACCACCGTTCAGCAGTCAGAGCAGCCAGCTCGGTGGTCCGATCTTCACAGGGGGAAACGTGACCCTCCAGTAAGGAGACGTGCACCACGTAAGGAGTCTCCACGTTCTTTTTCCTCAGTCTGTGAATGACAGGAACTTTTCAGAGAGGAAACTGTACAAACATGGAAACAGAAGTTCAGTATTTAAACCTCAAATCACTCAAAATGTAAAATGCAGACATTTGCTTTTGATCCAAGATGTGATGTCTTAGCACTCTTAGGAGTTACAGGACGTTGTCACCAGAGCGTAAAGAGAGACACTCCTGGGTTTCAGTATGTAAAGAATTCAGCAAGCATTAAGCTGGGGCGATTCTAGGATCTGAATTTTAGGGGTGTTTAGCCCCCAGCAGGGCCCAAGAAAAGATATTTGTTGGTGCATTTTTCTAAATGTCACTGATTATCTACATATATTCACATACAAAATTAAATAGTTTTGTCCAGCTAAAAAAATTAACAACTATACACAGTGGGTAAAATAAGTATTGAACACGTCACCATTTTTCTCAGTAAATATATTACTAGAGGTGCTAATGACATGAAATTTTCACCA